TTGACTTACATGTATTTTTTTTTCATTTGCAGAAACAAATTGTACACACATTAAATCATGCAAAATATCAAGAACAAATGACTACACAGGAATTCAATTTATTAAAATATCGCATTTCGATTCATGAATCATCTCCATCATCTATGCAAATGCCGAAAGAAAAATTTATGAAACCAATAAAAGATCCATCTCTTCGACAAAATCTACATGAACAATTTATAAAGATAGCACAACAAGCAAAAAAAGATATGATACAATTGTCTCTGTCTACTGCTCAAGCTCAAATGGATCGGTATCACACGGAATTTAACACGAAATTAGAACAATTCAAGATGCAACAGGACACACTACCAAGTGATGAAAAATTCAATAGCACTTTGTTACATTTAGTTGAAAAACATTGGAAGGATATAAGTGAAGGCGTGAAGTGTTTTTATAAATACAAACATGATTTACTTCGTTTAGATGCTCATCATAATTAATTCCAACAGCAATTATCATTTTTTTCATTCTTCTCTTTATTGTACTCTATATTTCTGTTTTTTGTTACTACATTTGTTTCAGATATATAAAAACTTGATTTTTAAAAAACATGAAGGCTTCCAACTTAACTTCAATTCCAAATGCACAACGACATACAGATCAACAGCCTTTGAATTCACAAATTCAAACTACAACAACACAACAACGTGAACCAAACTCAGCGAAAACCAAAAAACCAAGAAAAAAATGTCATGGTAATCGAAAACTACAGCGTTTTAGAAAAAAATGTTATAAACGTGGTCTCACTAAAGAACAAACACAACATTTGATTCATGAATATAATCATAATAATAAACCAAATGAACATGTTAACAATAATGTAAAGCAAGACCAATTGACGACGATCGAAAAAATGGAAGTCTCCACTGACTTCACTCACACTTCGAATGCATATGAAACAACAACAACAACAACAACCATATCCCATAAACGTAAACAATCACAACGGACACCTTCATCAAGTCAACGATCCGATTCACGTTCAACAGTTAAAAAAATGAAGCGAAACAAATCATCTCAAATTGATATGACTCCTTTAAAACCAACTTATAAATTACCTGTCTACTTGAAACAACATGCAAAATTACTCTTTCGAAATTTACGTGTGCTATTAAAACATACGTTAAGAAAAAAATGTGAACGCCAATTTCTTCATCATCGACTTCAATTATTAGATCAACAAGGTCGTCTTGGACTTCGTCAAAATTTATGGCAATCATATTTAAGTTTAGGATCCGATAAAGAAGTGTGGCCCGTAAGTTCATATATTGAATTATTTACACCTTTTTTTTTTTTGTTCATTTCTCATTTATATAGAATTCAGTAATCAAGATGGCAAAAACCAATGAACATACTGTGTGTGAACAATTTGTTAAACAACATCTCCATGAAATGAAACATAAATTCGATTATTTTACAAATGAATTAAAACTACAATGGGAATCATATCCACGAACACTTTTATCATTACAGTCTAGTCTTGATCAACATCTTCAACAGTTTGTTGAATTACAACAAAAATATTTAGCAACTAAAATGCACTATCAACTTCATCGATATGAAGATATGATTGCCGAAATCGACTTAATCCAAAGTTTATCAAGTTTTCCTCTTACCACTGATCACGTAAGTTCATTTCAAATAACCAAAATGTTTTTCTTGCTAATTTCTTGTACTTTTTTTCTTCGTCCTAGCAAACAACTATTGATCATCTTATACATTTACAAGAAAAACAAGTAGTCATATATGAAGATCTTCAAAAACTAGAAGCTCGAATTGCTATTGATATTTTACCTCGAAGTTTCGATGAATTAGAATGGTTTATAGCATGTGATGATTATATTCCTTTCATTAAAGATAATATAGCTGTTGAATTTCAACAAAATCAATACAAAATTATTCAAGAAGCCAAACGTACATGGTTGAATTCATATATGGTTGCATATGAAAGTCAAATTACACAAATCGAACATGAATATGAAATGGAATTACATCAATTTGAATTAACAAATTCAAGTCAAAGTTATTTAAATAATGCAAACATCACCTTGTTTCAATCTTTTCTCAATTATATCAATCATNACTTTTTTTTTTCTTTCTTCTCATTCATATTCTACACATTTCTTGTTTTTTTGTTGCTTCATTTATTTCAGATATATAAACATTTTACTTGAAAAAAACATGAAAGCTTCAACTTCAACTTTAATTCCAAGTGTACAACAACGTGAACCACACTCAACGAAAACTAAAAAACCAAGAAAAAAATGTCATGGTAATCGTAAACTACAACGTTTTAGAAAAAAGTGTTATAAACGTGGTCTTACTAAAGAAGAAACACAACACTTGATTCATGAATATAATCATAATAATACACCAAATGAAAATGAAACAAATAATATAAACCAAGACCAACTGACCAGGATTGAAAAAATGGAAGTCTCCACTGACTTCACTTACACTTCGAATGCATATGAAACAGCAACAACAACAACCATATCCCATAAACGTAAACAACCACAAGGGACACCTTCATCAAGTCAACGATCAACTTCACGTTCATCAGTTAAAAAAATGAAGCGAAACAAATCATCTCAAATTGATATGACTCCTTTAAAACCAACTTATAAATTACCTATCTACTTGAAACAACATGCAAAATTACTCTTTCGAAATTTACGTGTGCTATTGAAACATAGTTTAAGAAAAAAATGTGAACGCCAATTTCTTCATCATCGACTTCAATTATTAGATCAACAAGGTCGTCTTGGACTTCGACAAAATTTATGGCAATCATATTTAAGTTTAGGATCGGACAAAGAAGTCTGGCCCGTAAGTTTATATATGAAAGTATTTTCACAGATCTTTTTTTCTTTCACTTTCATATAGAATTCAGTTATCAAGATGGCAAAAACCAATGAACATACTGTGTGTGAACAATTTGTGAAACAACATCTCAATGAAATGAAACATAAATTAGATTATTTTACAAATGAATTAAAACTACAATGGCAATCATATCCACGAACACTTTTACCATTACAGTCTACTCTTGATCAACATCTTCAAAAGTTTGTTGAATTACAACAAAAATATTTAGCAACTAAAATGCAATATCAACTTCATCGATATCAAGATATGATAACAGAAATAGACTTAATCCAAAGTTTATCAAGTTTTCCTCTTACAAGTGATCACGTAAGGTCATTTTAAGTAACCACAATGTTTTTCTTGCTAATTTCCTGTATTTTTTTTTCTTCCTAGCAAACAACCATTGATCATCTTATGCATTTACAAGAAAAACAAGTAGTAATATATGAAGATCTTCAAAAACTAGAAGCTCGAGTTGCCATTGATATTTTACCTCGAAGTTTCGATGAATTAGAATGGTTTATTGCATATGATGATTATAGTCCTTTCATTAAAGATAATATAGCTGTTGAATTTCAACAAAATAGATACAAAATTATTCAAGAAGCCAAACGTACATGGTTAAATTCATATATGGTTGCATATGAAATTCAAATTATACAAATCGAACATGAATATGAAATGGAATTACATCAATTTGAATTAACAAATTCAAGTCAAAGTTATTTAAATAATGCAAACATCACCTTGTTTCAATCTTTTCTCAATTATATCAATCATCGCATAAAAAGAATTAAAGAAGAAATAGCTTATGAAAAAATTNACCAAATGATAAAAAATTCGACAGCAACATGATTAATTTAATTGAACAACATTGGAAGAATATGAGTGAAGGTGTCAAGTGTGTTTATAAATATAAATTTGATTTAGTTCGATTAAATTCTGTTCATAATTAATTTCAAAAAAAAATCCACATTTTTCTCCTATATACTTATGTATTTTTTTTTCAATTGTTTCAGATATATCTCTATTTTTTGCAAATTCTGTTCTAAAAAACATGAAAGCTTCAAACTCAAGTTTAATTCCAACTGCACAACGGCATTCGAGTAAATTGCCTTCGAATTCACGAATGCAAACTGGACGACAACAGCAACTAATACTATCCTCAACGAAAAAAATTAAACGAAGAAAAAAATGTCATGGTAATCGTAAACTACAACGTTTTAGAAAGAAATGTTATAAACGTGGTCTAACCAAAGAAGAAACACAACACTTAATTAATGAATATAATCATAGTCATCAAGGTCAAAATCAAACCAATAATGAAAAGAAGATACAAGCGACAACAGTTGAAAAAATGGAAGTATCCACTGACTTGAATTATACTACCAATGGGAATGAAACAACAACAACAGCAACAAAATCAAATAAACGTAAACAACAACAACGGACACCTTCATCAAGTCAATGATCAACTTCACATCCAATAGTTAAAAGAATGAAGAGAAACAAATCATCCCAAATTACTATGACTCCATTAAAGCCATGTTATAAATTACCAATCTACTTGAAAGCACATCCAAAGCTACTGTTTAAAACTTTACGTATACTATTGAAGAATACCTTAAAAACAAAATGTGCACGAAAATTTCTTCATTGTCGACTTCAATTATTCGATCAAAAATGTCGTCTTGGGCTTCGTCAAAACTTATGGCAATCATATTTAAATTTAGGATCCGAAAAGGAAGTGTGGCCAGTAAGTTCAAACATATCATTATTTTAAATGTATTTTTTTATTTTACTTTTTTTTTCAATTCATATAGAATTCAGTAATGAAAATGGCAAAAACCAATGAACAAATAGTGTGCGACCAATTTGTGAAACAACATCTCAATGAAATGAAAATTAAATTTGATCAATTTACCAATGAATTAAGAATACAATTGCAATCATGTCCAGTAACACTTTTACCGTTAAAGTCCACTCTCGACCAACATCTTCAAGAATTTGTTCAAATGCAACAAAAATATTTAGCAACTAAAATGCAATATCAACTCAATCGATATCAAGATATGATTACAGAAATAGAATTATTCCAAACTTTCTCAAGTTTTCCTCTTACAAGCAATCAGGTAAAGTGATTTCAACTATGAAAACTTAAAAAAAAATTTTTTTTTCATAGCAAACAATGATTGATCGACTTATGCATTTACAAGAAAAACAAGTACTTTTCTATGAAGATCTTCAAAAATTGGAAGCTCGAGTAGCAATTGATATTTTACCTCGAAGTTTCGATGAATTAGAATGGTTCATTGCATTTGATGATTATTTTCCTTTAATTAAAGATAATATTGCTGTTGAATTTAAACAAAACAGACACAAAACTATTCAAGAAGCCAAACGTACATGGTTTAATACATATATTGATGCATATGAAAGTCAAATTGCAGAAGTCGAACATCAATATGAAATGGAATTACATCAATTCGATTTAACTAATTCAAGTCAAAGTTGTTTAAATAATGGAATCACAACTCTGTGTCAATCGTTTCTTAATTATATCAATCATAGGATAAATAGAATAAAAGAAGAGATAGCCTATGAAAAAATACCTATTTATAAAAAAAAATTATTACGTGCTCAGCGACGTTCAAAATCCACAAACAAAACAGTGACTATCAAGCCGAATGTCATTGTCGATCTCATTTATCATCCATTTACTGATACTCAACTTGCTTATCTTTCACGAGGTAAAATTGTTTTATTTTATAAATTTTTACACATCCACATACTCGTCATATTATTTTTTTGGTTCAGGACCGACATACATACGACCCAATCCAAGTGTATTTTTTCCAAAAAAAACTCTACAAATATGACTCTCATACCATTAATCGATCAAATACGTGCTCTACGAGAATTAAAACTTGTTCAATCAATTCGAAAAAAATTAAAAAAATATAAACTTATACTCCGTGAAACAGACAAAAGTGGTGTACTACATATTGGTCGTGCCATTGATTATGAACGAAAAGCGGCTGAATATCGACAAACCACAGGTGCTTATGAAGAATTANTAATACTAAATTAAAACAATTTAAACTCAAACAACAGTCACTACCAAATGATAAAAAATTCAACTGCAACATGATTAATTTAATTGAACAACATTGGAAGAATATGAGTGAAGGTGTCAAGTGTGTTTATAAATATAAATTTGATTTAGTTCGATTAAATTCTGTTCATAATTAATTTCAAAAAAAAATCCACATTTTTCTCCTATATACTTATGTATTTTCTTTTCTATTGTTTCAGATATATCTATATTTTTTGCAAATTCTGTTCTAAAAAACATGAAAGCTTCAAACTCAAGTTTAATTCCAACTGCACAACGGCATTCGGGTCAATTGCCTTCGAATTCACGAATTCAAACTGAACCACAACAGCAACCAATACTATCCTCAACGAAAAAAATTAAACGAAGAAAAAAATGTCATGGTAATCGTAAACTACAACGTTTTAGAAAGAAGTGTTATAAACGTGGTCTGACCAAAGAAGAAACACAACACTTAATTAATGAATATAATCATAGTCATCAAGGTCAAAATCAAACCAATAATCAAAAGAAGATACAAGCGACAACAATTGAAAAAATGGAAGTATCCATGGACTTGGATTCTAATTTAAATGGAAATGAAGCAACAACATCAAAATCAAATAAACGTAAACAACAACAACGGACACCTTCATCAAGTCAACGATCAACTTCACATCCAATAGTTAAAAGAATGAAGAGAAACAAATCATCCCAAATTACTATGACTCCATTAAAGCCATGTTATAAATTACCAATCTACTTGAAAGCACATCCAAAACTACTATTTAAAACTTTACGTATACTATTGAAGCATACCTTAAAAACAAAATGTGCACGACAATTTCTTCATTGTCGACTTCAATTATTCGATCAAAAATGTCGTCTTGGGCTTCGTCAAAACTTATGGCAATCATATTTAAATTTAGGATCCGAAAAGGAAGTGTGGCCAGTAAGTTCAAACCTATCATTATTTTAAATGTATTTTTTTATTTTACTTTTTTTTTCAATTCATATAGAATTCAGTAATGAAAATGGCAAAAACCAATGAACATATAGTGTGCGACCAATTTGTGAAACAACATCTCAATGAAATGAATATTAAATTTGATCAATTTACCAATGAATTAAGAATACAATTGCAATCATGTCCAGTAACACTTTTACCGTTACAGTCCACTCTCGACCAACATCTTCAAGAATTTGTTCAAATACAACAAAAATATTTAGCAACTAAAATGCAATATCAACTCAATCGATATCAAGATATGATTACAGAAATAGACTTATTCCAAACTTTCTCAAGTTTTCCTCTTACAAGCGATCAGGTAAAGTGATTTCAGCTATAAAAACTTTTTTTTTAAATTTTTTTTTTCATAGCAAACAATGATTGATCGACTTATGCATTTACAAGAAAAACAAGTACTTTTCTATGAAGATCTTCAAAAATTGGAAGCTCGAGTAACAATTGATATTTTACCTCGAAGTTTCGATGAATTAGAATGGTTTATTGCATTTGATGATTATTTTCCTTTAATTAAAGATAATATTGCTGTTGAATTTAAACAAAACAGACACAAAATTATTCAAGAATCCAAACGTACATGGTTTAATACATATATTGATGTATATGAAAGTCAAATTGCAGAAGTCGAACATGAATATGAAATGGAATTACATCAATTCAAATTAACTAATTCAAGTCAAAGTTGTTTAAATAATGGAATCACAACTCTGTGTCAATCTTTTCTTAATTATATCAATCATAGGATAAATAGAATAAAAGAAGAGATAGCCTATGAAAAAATACCTATTTATAAAAAAAAATTATTACGTGCTCAGCGACGTTCAAAATCCACAAATAAAACAGTAACTATCAAGCCGAATGTCATTGTCGATCTCATTTATCATCCATTTACTGATACTCAACTTGCTTATCTTTCACGAGGTAAGATTGTTTTATTTTCTAATTTTTTACATATCCACATACTCGTCATATTATTTTTTTTGTTTCAGGACCGACATACATACGACCTAATCCAAGTGTATTTTTTCCAAAAAAAACTCTACAAAAACGAATTAATAAAGAACATGATGATACAATGGCTAAAATTAAGACATACATGTCCAATTTGAAAGATCTACCAAACATACCATTATCATCACCAGTATATAAATCATATTCGAATCAACTTCGATCCTGTCTAACTCAAAGTTATATGACTTTCATACCATTAATCGATCAAATACGTGCTCTACGAGAATTAAAACTTGTTCAATCAATTCGAAAAAAATTAATAAAATATAAACTTATACTCCGTGAAACAGACAAAAGTGGTGTACTACATATTGGTCGTGCCATTGATTATGAACGAAAAGCGGCTGAATATCGACAAACCACAGGTGCTTATGAAGAATTAACTTCGAATCCATTCGATGATATTATTTGTACTGTAACTCGTCTACTTAATCAATTAAAATCAATGAAACGAATAAGTGACTGGCAAAGAAGCAAAATGAACCCTGTTCGGAAAAAGACAGAATTAGCTTATATGTATTTTATTCCCAAACCACATAAGGTGACTACCTATTATACATCTGTTTCTTTTTTGAATATAATTATAATAATTCATTTTATTTTTAGAAAGCTACACCACTTCGACCTATTTTAAATACCATACATGCTGCAACCAAGCAAATTTCTCAATATTTAGATAAATTAATTCGACCATTATTCGATCGATTTGTACGTCAAACGACTATTGTAGATGGTGGTGACCTTCTGGATCAACTTCAAAAATATATTCACAAAGGTTTTTTTAAATCAACAACTCTCTTCATTACCTTCGATATTTCGAATCTTTATACTATGCTACCACAAGAAGAATCCTTAGCTGTACAGGGTGGTAAATAATATTATTCCAGGGGGGTAACACTATGATCTCGAATCGGAGATATCATGAATTTTATACCAAATGAAAGCTCGTGAAAAATGGGGTTTAGTGATAGTAAATAGTAAGACTTTGAAGAACTTTCTTGTATTAATTTATCAAACGTTACGATTTTTATCGACATAAAATATTATAAAATCAGTTCATCGAAAAAGTTCGGGGCTANACAAATCGAACATGAATATGAAATGGAATTACATCAATTTGAATTAACAAATTCAAGTCAAAGTTATTTAAATAATGCAAACATCACCTTGTTTCAATCTTTTCTCAATTATATCAATCATCGCATAAAAAGAATTAAAGAAGAAATAGCTTATGAAAAAATTCCAATTTATAAACGAAAATTATTAAATACTCAACGACGTTCAAAATCAACAAACAAAACAGTATCTATCAAGCCGAATGTTATTTTGGATCTCATTTATCATCCATTTACTGATATTCAACTTGCTTATCTTTCACGAGGTCATCTCATTTTTTTTTCTATATATATTTCTAAACATAAACATACTTATAATATTTTTTTTTGTTTTTTTTTAAGGACCTACCTACATACGGCCCAATCCTAGTGTATTTTTTCCAAAAAGAATACTGGAAAAACGAATTAAGAACGAACATGATGATACAATTAATAAAATTAAGACTTATATGTCCAATTTAAAACATATACCAAAAATACCTTTATCATCATCCTTATATAAATCCTATTCGGAACAACTTCAATCCTGTCTAACTCAAAGTTATATGAATCTTATACCGTTAACAGAACAAATACGTGCTCTACGAGAATTAAAAATTGTTCAATCAATTCGAAAAAAATTAAAAAAATATAAACTTATACTTCGTGAAACAGACAAGAGTGGTGTACTACACATTGGTCGTGCCATTGATTATGAACGGAAAGCAGCTGAATACAGACAAACAACCGGTGCCTATGAAGAATTAACTTCGAATCCATACGATGATATTATTTGTACTGTAACTCGTTTACTTAATCAATTAAAATCTACGAATCGAATTAGTGAATGGCAAAGAGGCAAAATGAATCCTGTTCGGAAAATAACAGAATTAGCTTATATGTATTTTATACCGAAGCCACATAAGGTAACTATCTATTACATATGAATATTTTTTTTTACATAATCATACCTATTTTTTTTTTTTAGAAAGCAACACCACTTCGACCCATCTTGAATACCATACATGCTGCCACCAAGCAAATTTCTCAATATTTAGATAAATTAATTCGACCTGTATTCGATCGATTTGTACGTCCAACAACGTTAGTCGATGGTGCTGATCTTCTCGAACGACTTCAACAATATATTCATAAAGGTTATTTTAATTCATCGACTCTCTTCATTACATTCGATATTGCCAATCTTTATACAATGTTACCACAAGAAGAATCCTTAGTTGTACTTGCCGAATTTCTTCGTGTACACAATTGTGAAAAAGTAAATGGAATTTCAATTGATACTATTGTTGAATTAGGTCGTATTGTACTTAAATATAATGCATTTGTATGTGGAAAGAAATTTTATCGACAAATTATTGGTGGTGCTATGGGTTCAGCATTTACTTTAACATTAGCAAATATTTTTATGTGGAAATGGGAACGACAAACACTTTTACCAAAATTAGGTTCTCATGAAATATATGGCCGGTAACTATTCAGTTTTAATAGCAAGTATGATATTGTAATAAAGAGAGAGTTTTTTTTTTATATTTTAGATACATTGATGATGTTTTCTTTACATCGAACCAAACCGAAGAGAAAATTAAACAATTATTAGATGCGGCAAACAATTTCCATCCAAATATTAAATTAGAATATACAATTGGTAAAAGTGCTCCCTTCCTCGATGTTTTAGTGAAGAATAACAATGGTATGTTGGAATCATCAATCTATCGTAAACCTTCGGCTCAACCAACAGTAGTATCATTTCTATCGGATCATCCACGACATGTATTTCGAAATGTGATCCAAACGGCTTTGACCAGAGCGGCACGATATTCATCTTCATTTGAAATATTTAATAATGAACGACGTGCTATTCATTCAATGTTATTATACAATAGGTGAACCTTTTTTTTGTTTTCATACGTTTTTTATAAGAATTAAATATTGTGCCACTTTGTCTTTGTAGATATCCATCGACTTATATACACGACCAATTTGAAAAATTCTTCGTTAAGTTTAATTCATCAGCATCATTTTCTTCGTCACTTTTATCCATGATAATAGATGAAAATCAATTTTCTACATTACATCAAACAATAACAAATGAACCGACCGCTAAACAAACACAACTTACTATAAGTGCAGCTGCCGTCGATATGACACAACGACATACACAAANATAGTTTAGCCCCGAACTTTTTCGATGAACTGATTTTATAATATTTTATGTCGATAAAAATCGTAACGTTTGATAAATTAATACAAGAAAGTTCTTCAAAGTCTTACTATTTACTATCACTAAACCCCTTTTTTCACGGGCTTTCATTTGGTATAAAATTCATGATATCTCCGATTCGAGATCATACTGTTACCCCCCTGGAATAATATTATTTACCACCCTGTACTTGCTGAATTTCTTCGTGTACATAATTGTGAAAAAGTCAATGGAATTTCAATTGATACTATTGTCGAATTAGGTCGTATTGTACTTAAAGCCAATGCATTTGTCTGTGGTAACAAATTTTATCGACAAATTATTGGTGGTGCTATGGGCTCAGCATTTACTTTAACATTAGCAAATATCTTCATGTGGAAATGGGAAAGACAAGCTATTTTACCAAAATTAGGTTCTCATGAGATATATGGCCGGTAAGTATTTAGTTTTAATAGCAAGAATGAAATTTTAATAAAGATAGGTATTTTTTTATTTTAGATATATTGATGATGTTTTCTTTACATCGAACGAAACCGAAGAAAAAGTCAAAGAATTATTAGAAGCTGCAAACAATTTCCATCCAAATATTAAATTAGAATATAATATTGGTAAAAGTGCTCCATTCCTCGATGTTTTGGTTAAGAATAACCATGGTATTCTGGCCTCATCGATCTATCATAAACCTTCGGCTCAACCAACAGTGGTATCATTTTCATCCGATCATCCACGACATGTATTTCGAAATGTGATTCAAACGGCTCTTACTAGAGCGGTACGATATTCCTCGTCATTTGAAATATTTAATAACGAACGCCGTGCTATTCGTTCAATGTTCTTATATAATAGGTAAACCATTCGTTTGATTGATTTTTTATATCACTGAATGATCACCGATTTTTTTAGATATCCATCAACTTATATTAATGAGCAATTCCAAAAATTCTTTGCTGGCTATAGGTCATCATCAACTTCGTCACTTTTACCAATGATTACAGACGAAAGTCAATTTTTTGCATTACGTCAAACATTATCGAATCAACCAACAGCTAAACAAACACAGCTTGCAAGAAGTGTAGTTGCCGTCAATCTTACACAAGATACTCAACATGTTCCACAGAGAAATACACAATTAATGGAGGCAACAATCACACGAAATAATATTAAATTCAAAAACAATATCTTTGTTCATGTTACACATGAGGCCAGACTCAAAGGCTTAGCACGTGGAATTCATCTGATACATGATAGCCACTTCAAGAATACAATCCATGGAGATATTAGATTGATTGTCGGTTATCGAAATAATCCAAATATAGAATTCGAACTTTCACGTAAACGACCATCTTCATCAATACTGAAAGATCCATTAAACATGGGTAAGATATATAACCAGCTTATTTTTTTTTCTATTCTCCATTAATATTTTTCTCTTAGAACAAAAACCCAATGGAATCAATGGCAACGGTGTGAATGTCAAATGAACACTATATAGATATTTAAAAACAAAAATTTCATTCTCTCGTTTGAAAATAAACTATATTCTAGATTCTTTAGTTTCTTTTGCTTTTCTTGTATTGCTATATATGTTTAAAAAAAAATCTACATTTGTTGTTTTTTTTTCATTTCAGATATCTAACCTAAAATAGTATCAAAGTTCAAAAACATTACCAACAAGCAACCATGAAAAACAAATTCAATCAAAATAAACAAAATCGCAAACGTCAAAATTACAAAAAGAAAAATCGTCGATTACGTATGAAAAAGAAACAAGTCTCTCTTAATAACCAACTTCAATTAGCAACTATTGAACCAAATGCACAACTTCAGAATTTATCCATACACCAAGATTTGGCAATAAAAAAAATCTATAATCCTTTGGACATAGCAACAAGTTCTGATCCAACATTATTATTACCGGATTATTTAACCATATCGGACAGCAAGTTTAAAGAAATATTATTAACATCAACGTCAAATAATATGAATACCGATACACTAAGTGAATTATTGAATCAGAAAGAAATATTATTATTTATTCGTCAACTTACACAGCTCGTCAATAAANGGCATGTTTGGTACGAAAGGTACGAGACCCGGAAGAAGCTCGGTCTTGTTGTCAGGAAGATGGTATTCATTTTAGTTTTCGTTTAAGAAAAGTAACACTCGCGCGCGGGTCCCCCATACCTGTTTTCTGTGGACGGACTATTTTTATACAGTCAGAAAATTGTTTAGGATACGTGTGTTATTCATCCTTAGCTCATACATACCCAAGCACCTCAAGTGATTGAATGATTCTAATGAACCTTGGAACAGAATTACACTGTTTTAATTAAATTTCATCAAGTTTTACCAACAGTATTAAAATAGGTAATTGGTATATAGGTACTTAATATTTATTTAAAGAAAAGTGATCTCCGATTGAATCCCCACCTTCGATTACTTTTGATCACACTTTATACGGATAATATCTTTTATTAAAAAGCTGGTCCTTTGTGTAAAAAGAAATTATTGGCAAAAAAAGTTTCAAAAAACTAACCTCAGATTTGGATTCCTCGACCTCGATTACCCTTCGGTCAACCCTTATAAATAAGATTTTTCTTCGTAAAAAAGTGATCTTTTGTGTGAAAAAATGATTCACAAAAAAATATCAAAAAACTAACCTCGGATTCGAATTCCCCGACCCCGATTACCTTTCGGTCAACCCTTATAAAAAAATTTGTTTTCGTAAAAAAGTGATCCCTTGTGTAAAAAAATGATTCACAAAAAAATTTAAAAAAACTGATCTCAGATTTGAGTTCCTCGACCTCGATTACCTTTGGTTGAGTTTTATTTGAAAGAACCCTTTTTGTGTCGCGATCGTTATTCGACCAATCAGTGAAGTGCGGACACACAAGCAAGCAAGCAAGCAATCAACCAGACAATTTATGTTTGCAAGACTCTTCTCTACGAGAAAGAGAATATGAAAGTCAAATTAAAGAAGTCAAACATCAATATGAAGTGGTATTACATCAATTCGAATTAACTAGTTCAAGTCATAGTTGTTCAAATAATGGAATCACACCTCTGTATCAATCTTTTCTTAATTATATCAATCATCGAATAAAGAGAAGAAAAGAAGAGATCGCTTATGAAAAAATACCTATTTATCGAAAACAATTATTACGTGTTCAGCGACGATCAAAATCCATAAACAAAAGAGTGACTATTAAGCCGAATGTCATTGTCGATCTCATTTATCATCCATTTACTGATACTCAACTTGCTTATCTTTCACGAGGTAAGATTGTTTTTTTTTCTAAGTTTTTACGCATTCATATACTCGTCATATTATTTTTTTGTTTCAGGACCGACTTACATACAACCCAATTCAAATGTATTTGTTCCAGAAGAAACTCTGCAAAAACGAATTAAGAAAGAACATGATAATACCATGACAAAAATTATGACGTACATGTCCGAGTTGAAAGATATACCAAACATACCATTATCATCACCAGTATATAAATCATATTCGGATCGACTTCGATCCTGTCTAACTCAAACTTATGTGACTCTCATACCATTAATCGATCAAATACGTGCTCTGCGAGAATTAAAACTTGTTCAATCAATTCGAAAGAAATTAAAAAAATATAAACTTATCCTCCGTGAAACGGATAAAAGTGGTGTACTACATAGTGGTCGTGCCATCGATTATAAACGAAAAGCGGCTGAATATCGACAAACCACAGGTGCTTATGAAGAATTAACTTCGAATCCATTCAATGATATCATTTGTACTGTAACCCGTTTACTTAATCAATTACAATCAATGAAACGAATAAGTGAATGGCACAGACGCAAAATGCACCCAGTTCGGAAAAAGACAGAATTAGCTTATATGTATTTTATTCCCAAACCACATAAGGTGACCATCTCTTATACATCTGTTTCTAAATAAATATAATAATATTAATTCATTTTCTTTTTAGAAAGCTACACCACTTCGACCCGTTTTAAATACAGTTCATGCTGCAACCAAGCAAATTTCTCAATATTTAGATAAATTAATTCGACCATTATTCGATCGATTTGTACGTCAAACGACCATTGTAGATGGTGCTGACCTTCTTGCTCACCTTCAAAAATATATTCAAAAAGGTTTTTTTAAATCAACAACTCTCTTCATTACATTCGATATTGCAAATCTTTAGACAATGTTACCACAAGAAGAATTCTTAGCTATTCTTGCTGAATTTCTTCGTGAACATTATTGTGAAAAAGTCAATGGAGTTTCCATTGATACCATTGTCGAATTAGGTCGTATTGTACTTAAAGCCAATGCATTTGTCTGTACTAACAAATTTTGTCGACACATTATTGGTGGTGCTATGGGCTCAGCATTTACTTTAACATTAGCAAATATCTTCATGTGGAAATGGGAAAAGCAAACTATTTTACCAAAACTAGGTTCTCATGAGATATATGGCCGGTGAATGTTTAGTTATACTAGCATGAATAAAAATTTTAATTGTAGATATATATTTTGTTTCGTATTCTAGATATATTGATGATGTTTTCTTTACATCGAACGAATTCCAAGGCAAAGTAAAAGAATTATTAGAAGCTGCAAATAATTTTCATCCAAATATTAAATTAGAATATAATATTGGTAAAAGTGTTGCATTCCTCGATGTTTTGGTTAAGAACAACAATGGTATTCTGGCATCATCGATCTATCATAAACCTTCGGCTCAACCAACCGTGGTATCATTTTTATCGGATCATCCACGACACGTATTTCGAAATGTGATTCAAACGGTTCTCACTAGAGCGGTACGATATTCATCGACATTTGAAGTATTTAATAACGAACGACGTGCTATTCGTTCAATGTTCTTATACAATAGGTAAACCATTCGTTTTATTAATTTTTTATATAACTGAATGATCACCGATTTTTTTAGATATCCATCAACTTATATTAATGAACAATTCCAAAAATTTTTGCTGGCTATATGTCGTCATCTACTTCGTCATTTTTACCAATGATTACTAACGAAAGTCAATTTTTTGCATTACGTCAAACATTATCAAATCAACCAACAGCTAAACAAACACAACTTGCTAGAAGTGTAGCTGCCGTCAATGTTACACAAAATACTCAACATGCTCCACAAAGAAATACACAATTAATGGAGGCATCAATTAAACGAAACAATGATAAATTCAAAAACAATCTCTTTGTTCATGTTACACATGAGGCCAGACTCAAAGGCTTAGCACGTGAAATTCATCTGATACATGATAGTCACTTCAAGAATACAATCCATGGAGATATTAGATTGGTTGTCGGCTATCGAAACAATCCAAATATAGAATTCGAACTTTCACGTAAACGACCCTCTTCATCAATACTGAAAGATCCATTATCAGAGGGTAAGATATATAACCAACTTATTTTTTCCTATTCTCTATAGTTATTTTTCTCTTAGAACAAAAACCCAATGGAATCAATGGCAACGGTGTGAATACCTAATGAACATTAAATAAATATTTAAAAAAAATTCATTTTTTCTTTTCAAAATAAACTACATTCCAGATTCTTTAGTTTCTTTCCCTTTTCTTGTATTGATATATATGTTGAAAAAAATCTATATTTGTTGTTTTTTTTCCATTTCAGATATCTAACCTAAAATAGTATCAAAGTTTAAAAATACTATCAACAAGCAACCATGAAAAACAAATTCAATCAAAATAAACAAAATCGCAAACGTCAAAATTACAAAAAGAAAAATCGTCGATTACGTATGAAAAAGAAACAGGTCTCGTCAATAACCAGTTTCAATTAGCAACTATTGAACCAAATGCACAGGTTCAGAATTTATCCGCAACACAAGATTTGCCAATGAAAAATATCTATAATCCTTTGAACCTAGCAACAAGTTCTGATCCAACATTATTATTACCGGATTATTTAACAATATCGGACAGCAAGTTTAAAGAAATGTTATTAACATCAACGTCAAACAATATTAATACTGATGCACTCATTGAATTATTGAATCAGAAAGAAATATTATTATTTATTCGTCAACTTACACAGCTCGTCAATAAATTAAACTATTCTCAATTACAAAATGAACAATGGTCTTACTATTACAATTTAGGAATGACCGAAGGTATATGGAATGGACGAGTATCGAAAAAAATGGCCGACGCTAATTCAATGTATTACACATACGGTTAATCTAAAGTCTTAATTAAACAACGTCTGGAGAAATATAAACAACAATGTCCACAAATCCAAGAAACTATTAATCAACATATGAAAACAATACCTCCCAATATTGATACGACAATTATTGCAAATACGATTAATAGTTCAATACACAAAGATCAACATCAACTTCGTCTTGAGCTTGACAGACGAAAAACAATGCGCCGACTAGATGCTGAAGAACATAAACTCGTTGATCATTTTTACACATTGAAGCCCAGGCAAACGGAGGTGAGCATGCAAACTTTTCATAGATATTTGCAATCTATATAAATCTTTAAATAAATTCAGCAAAAATTATATGGAAAGCTATACATGATCAACAAACAATCATACATGAAATTCTTATATTTAAAAAATGGCTTGAACTTCACCTCAGCACATCATCTTGTGAACTTCAACATTTACATTTACCAAATATCAATCGTATATTCACCTCATTAGCTTTTCAAGATGACACATTATCAACTGAAAATATGGCTCAGCAAACAAAAGTAAGAGCCGAAGAAATCGTGCAAACTTATACAAAAATAGCAACAACAGAGAAAAATAAACTGCTATCAACAAGAACTCATCACAAAAATGTTCAGCTACTCGACCAAATCATCACTACTATTCTCACACGTGAAAACAACATGATACAACGTCGTGTATGTGAACTACAACGAAAACTTACAATGATATTCAATGAAACTGCACTGGAACCTTCCAAAGACCAACTCAATATACAAATCAACTAAAACTATAAAGGAACTTCATTGTATACATTCATTAAAAAAATGTACCATACCGGATCTGTAACATAATGAAAAAAATCACAAAATGTTTTTTTCGGAATTTTTTTCTGAATAAATATAAAAAAGGCCCCATTTCATTTCGGATACTTCTCGAACTAGCTTATTCTCAAACATATATCCATACAACTAATACAACCATTAACAACCAACGATCCAACAGCCGAACACTCCGCGAATCACATCGGACACATGTAACATCGAAGTATCCTCGGTATCGTGGTAACTTTACACACCACCTTGTGTTTTCAGAAATCATTGACATTTCAAACAGATTCTTCGCTATGACTAAATATTGACTTCAACAATTAATTTATCGACTGTAGTTTAAAGTTAATTTTATTCACAAAATTTATATGCGCAAATGTATCTTATATTAAGAATTATATCGAAAAGTAATTTATATGTCCTTCACATTTACACGAGTTACTACCTACACTAAAAAAAAATGGTACCACACCGAACCCAAAAGGGTTTGTTGGACTAAAAAAAGGTTTCGTGCATAGTACGGAACCTAAAAGGGTTTCGATTTCGTTTCAATTCTCTGAACCCTTTTAGGTTTCGTAGATAGAACAAGAAACACTTGAAAAAGTATTCTAAGTCTATGGCAATTATTTTCAGGTAACCAAAGTTTTTACGAAACCTTTTGAGGGTTTCGTATTCATTTGAAAAAGGGTTTGGTAATCATACTAATTTTTTTCTAGTGCACCGAACCATTTTCCAAATAAATACGGAACCCTTAAAAGGTTTCGTAAAAACTTTGGTTACCTGAAAATAATTGCCATAGACTTAGAATACTTTTTCAAGTGTTTCTTGTTCTATCTACGAAACCTAAAAGGGTTCGGAGAATTGAAACGAAATCGAAAC